CGACAAGCTTAAATTTATTAAGAAAGGGATTCCAAATCGATCGGTATAATGAAACGTGAGTCTATCTCAAGCATAGCATACATACATCCGCATAATATTATTACACAATTGTACTGCAAATGGCGTTGGGTATAAAAATGGAAAACATTTCTTACAAATCATGCGTAGGAAAGGAATTTGAAACAAAGGAAACCTTAATATGAGACTTGAAAGATATTAAAATAAAATTTCGCTTACATTATATAACGAAATTAAAAATAATCAGGCGCTTGGCGTAAAGGATCGACAGCATTACCATTTATACTAATCTTTTTCCCTCTCCACGCCTAACCAACATGGAGCAAATCAAGATCAGAACATTTGCAAGAATTCGTTTTGATTATATGATTGCAACACTGCAAGGGATCCTTTAGAAAACTACTCCTCCAATTTGCAACTGTGTCAACTGTGACAAAATCTTACGATTAAATAAATGGCTTGTGATGGCTTGTGGCTGAAATCGTTGCAGTATTCGAAGATTCGTATTCGACACTTCTAACCCTGTGGACGTATTGAAAGTACATGGAGAACTTTATATCAGTAAAATATTTAACTTCATTAAAGCGGCTACACTCACCATCTAGCCTATCTTTAAAAGAAAAAAGAGTAAATGGCCTTAATTGGTTGGTGCTCATCCTACTTTTGGTCCTACTTTAGAATTTACTTCTATTATTTCAATAAAGTATAATAATTATAGTAACACAATTAAATGTATAGACGGCCTTCAAACTAAAATTTAGCCTAAATATATAATTAAAATCATCTTAAATTAGCGCGCAGGATATATATAGCTTAACGTTTACGTACAGATTTTTTTCTATATTTGTGCGGATGTATGCCACACTTAAAAGGACTTCAGATAGACTCATCCTTTATTATACCGATCTACTGAGGATCTAAGTTTGTCTGTCCACCTGCTCCCCTTGTTTTCCTATTTTTCCTCCTCTCACCATTTATGAAACAAGGGCGCGAATGTGTGCAGTATCCAGAAGAACATGAGATAGACTTTCCTCTTATTGTAATGGTAGAGCTAGTCACTCTGTCCGCCTGTCCGTCTGATGTCTGACCATTTATCTTCGGCCCGCTAGGATGAAGGCTATTGTTTAGCCACTTCCCATATAAAGACTTTTTAGAATAACAGTATTAAGCGAAGTCGTGTAGCGTATTTGATGGCGAACTATGTTTCACTGCAGTGTTTCTACTTGTTTTGTTTTAAACTTTGATGTCTATGTGCGTGGTCAAAGTGTACCATGTATTGTTCACTAAAGCAGCGGAACAAGCATGGTGGCGAACCATGGTTCACTATAATGTTTCTACTTGTTTTGCTTTAAATTTTGATGTCCGAGTGCGTGCTCATGTCACAAGTTTCAAATCACTTGCCAGTGCAAGGGAAATATTATGTATTGTTAACAGGGGAACAAGCTTAATTCGGCTTTGGGACGAAACTTCAACGTATCTTGCAGTAGACAAGTATGGCATAGAAATCCGAATTTTTAAAATCCACGAATAATTCAACGAACCGAACTTTAAACTAATAGGCACTATAGGTTAACAGATATTTTGGCATATCATCGTAATTTCTAAATGCGATCTGCACTCGTTAGTTGAGAGAATTAATGTCAATGTCTAATTTTCCCTGAAATTTCTGGCAATAACGAGATGGCTAGATAGTTTCGATTAAATTTCTTTGGAATTTTATCAAGAACGTACTCGATAGAGGGTATAATGCCTCCTTTATAGTCTATCTCTCACAAAAAAAAAAAAAAAAAATTGTTTCATATCATTTTGAGACACTCTTTATTTCCCATTTTATTGCCAATGTTATTGAAAATTTCTCTTTTACTAAAATCCGTATGTTTGAGTATCACAATCATTTCAACCGTATCATGTAATCGGGCCTGAAATACATGCAACATAAGTAAAATGCATTTATTTCAGTTCAGATTTCAAATCACTTTAAATTGTTTTACGTCTAAATGTCTATCTACACTTACTACACAAGACAGATGCACAGGCAGACACACGTCCAGATATTTCTTAACATGAAACTCCATAATTTCACATGCAAGTGTTACAATAACTGAATCTAGGGAAATATATAAAATGCAAACACAAAGAAAAAAAATAGCAAAACTTACGGAGCAAATTCATCATCATATCATGAAGAAGTGAATTTATACGGGACATTAAGTTTAAAAAATTTAGTTAAATATTTGAAAAATAATATCATTACTTTTATATAGTCGGGCGAGGCCGACCTTTAAATAATCTACACCACTTTGCCTAGCACAGTTATTGGATCGTTTAAATACATTAAAAATTTCACATCACTTTACCTAATTTAGGTCATGTTAGAAACTCTTTTGCATTTTTTTTGCACAGATGGTACATTTTCGTACATTTATTTGCAATAGTTTGTAAGTAATGAGCAAATAACCAATTTTTCATTACCTTTGAAAAACAGAGATGTTCTCAGTTTACTTGGTGCTGTGGGTATCTCCTTCGACCGATTTGAACCATTTTCAATACAAATCTGCGTGCAAGAACTTGCAATGTTTTTGCCAAATTTGAAGTCGATAGCTTCACTTTTGCGGCCAAGAGAATAGACATTTCATAAACGGACGGACGGACAGACAAACAGATATGCTTAAATCGATGCAGAATTTGATGATAAGCAAGATTGAGCATCCTAAGGGCACACTTTACTGTAAAATATTTTCTCTTTTTTTTTACGTGGAAAAAAAAAAACAGAAGAAACAAGTGTTGGGTGTAAGGAGATTCGCTCTAAACTGAGCAAAATTCCTTTGTCGTGTTTTTTCTTGTTTTTTTTTTTTTATTATAGGTTTTCCTGTTTATTAATTAATTTATTTATAAATCCTCCTATATATGATATTATTTATGTGTTACATGTATTTCTGCACATAAGCTTCTGTAAATATGTGGAAATTATGTAATTTAACCTCCTTGGAAGCTTAAGTAATAAATTGCTTAATTATAAGAGATATGCAGTTAAGCATTAAAAATACATAATTAAGTATAATTTTTATAGAATTATTTTCATACTTCATATGGCCATTTGAGGTATTCTTTTTTTGTTTTTTTTGTTTTTTATTTTATTATCGAAAGCCTCATGGCTTTTACATTTTAATAAACGTACGTTAACGTAAGTTGGTTAAATTGATTTTAGTGGCTTTTTATAGATAGGGCTTTGGGTTTATTCACTTTTTCT